CACTCTGCTTGACGGAGGCTCTTGATGGAGGCACAGTGCAGGTRCATACATTCACTGCCCCCCGAGGAGCTACACTCTTTGGAAGTGTTGTACACTTTGCTCTACCCTACCTCACTCCCACTGCAGACTCTGGTGTGTGTGTCAGGAGAAGGGGGCTCCGCGGCCTAAGCTCAGTCTATTTACACAGGTTACAGGGCCAGCCTGTTGAAAAGGCATTCCATATATTGGTGGGATGAAGCTGCAGAGATTTACTTGCTTCCTCATGTGTAAGTTTAAAAATGATCTTTGCACAATGACTGCCCACCACAGTTCTCCACTAACAAATTGAAAAACACATCAATTCATGTTCGTTAGGTGGCTTTATCTCCTATTGCAGCTAAACTCGGGACTGATTTTCAATTCTTCCACTGTTTCCAGACTTACCTGATGGTGCAAGTTCTGGGTTCTGGGTTAACAAATAATTTCTGTTTTCTAGTTTAGTAGCTAGAATTTGAGTCTCTACAAGTCTCTGACCTGCAACATTGAATCTGTGCATTCCTTCCATCCCTTATCTCTGATCTGATAGCTGTTTTCTCAGTCTTTTGATTCCAAACTCAACTTCCCATTACTTCTCCCATAAGCTGATTTTTTTTTCATATTCATTCAAAATATTTTCCAATTGTTCATTTTTTTTTCTTTGGTTCACATGGTGTTCTTTGATTCACTTAGCAATGTTTTTGGAAATTCAAAAATATTTTTTAAATTAACCAAATTTCCTGAGTTAGTGATATGTAATTGTGATCAGAGAATATACTTAGGTCTTCATTAAAATTTTTGACCTATAGACTACAGCATATTGTTTAAAGAATGTTAAGTCTTCTATATCCTTGCTGGATTTCCTTAAATTATTGAGAATAGGGAGTTGAAATCTCCATCTTAKTAACTATTTTTACCTCCAAATTTTTGTTTCATGTATGTGGTGTCTTGTTAGGGGCATATTTATCCATAATTGTYTTTATTTTACTGAGGGGATTACTCTTTTATCAATTAAATAATGTCCCTCTTTGTCTTTAGTGACTTTTTAAAAGCTATTTTATCTTATATTAGTATAACCACCCCTGTTGTCTTGTCACCACTATTTGGATGGTATATTTTTTCCATCTTTTCATTAATTTTCCATCTACTAACTTTCAGCCTCTTTTTGCTTATTTACAAAGCTAAATTTATTATGTCTGCATTTTGCTATTTGTTTTACATGTCTCATATCTTTATTTCCCTTTTCTTCCCTAATTGTTGTCTTTTGTGTCTAATTGGTATTTTATAATGTATCATTTATATTTTTGTGTGTGTGGTGTTGGGGATCAAACTTGGGGCCTCATACATGCCAGGCAAGTGCTCTATCACTGAGCTACATCCTTTAATTCTTCTTAACCTTGGGGGTAAAGTTACATTCTTAGTGGTTACTCTAAGAATTAAATATATACATTAGCTTTAAAAATAAATCAATTTTTGGCTCCTGTATAGCTCCCTTCCTCTGCCTCCTTCGTGCCATCACTAATACAATGTGACACAATTCCATCTTAATATATTAAGGGTCCGATAATTTACAATTATTTTATGGTATTGTTTTTACCAGTTACGAATATGGCTATATTTATATTTATCTAACAACATTAACAAAACTTAATTTCCTCATGTAGATTCAAGTTGCCATCTGTTAGTACCTCCTTTCAGCCCAAAGAATTTTTTTTTAAAATAATTTTCCTTGTTAGGCAGTTCTGAGAGCAACAAATTGGTTCAGTCTTTATCTGATATTGTCCTTATTGGAGATTTTGCTGGATGTGAAATTCCTGGTTAGCAGGTTTTTCTTTTTTGASAGTGCTTTTAGGTTCATTCCACTGCTTTTTGATCAGTTTCTTTTTTTTTTTTTTTGAGAGAATATCTTAATATTTTTTAATTTTCGGCGGACATAACATCTTTGTTTGTATGTGGTGCTGAGGATTGAACCTGGGCCGCACGCATGCCAGGCGAGCGCACTACTGCTTGAACCACATCCCCAGCCCTTGATCAGTTTCTTATAAGAAACTGACACTCTTATTGAGGATGATACATGATGAGATATTTTTTCTCTTGCTGCTTTCAAGATATTCTTAGTTCAACTGTCAGAAGCCAAGGACAATCATGTGGCTCTCTATCACAGTTTGAGTAGGTGTTGGTATGAGTTTATCCTACTTAGGCCTTCTTGAGATTCTTGTAGATGTGCATGCTTAGTCAGCTTTGGGAAGGTCTGACCATTGTTGTTTTTGGTGCTGAGGATTGGATGCAAGGCCTCCCTAAGCAGGTGCTTTACCACTGAGCCACACCTCCAGCTTGTATTGTTTTTTCAAACTTTTTTTTCTGATCTTGTCCTTATATTATGTACACGTTGGTATGGTTGCAAAAATAAAAAAATAAAAAAATGAACAGAACCTACAAGTCCTTGAGGTTCTGTTCATTTTTTTATTCTTCCTATTTTTCAAAGTACATAATTTCTATCCATCTATTTTCCAGCTCAAATCTGTGTTGAGCCCTTTAGTGAGTTTTTCCATTTCAGATCTTACACTTCTCAGCTCCAGAATTTCCATTTGGTTCATTTTTAAGCAGTCTGTCTCTGCACTGACATTCTCTATTTGGTGAGATCATCACTATACTTTTAGTTCTTTATACATGTAGTTCTTTACATTTGTAACAGCTGCTTTCAGGTCTTTACTAAATTCAATACCTGAATGTTCTCACAGGAAGTTTCTTCTGCTTTTTTTTATTTTCCACTGTGAATGAATTGTATGATGCTCCTTAACTTATAAGGGGGTTKCTTCCTAATAAACCCACTGGAAAATATCACAAGCTGAAAAGGCATTTAATATACCTAAGCTATCAAACAATATAGTTTAGCAACACATTACAATACGGAGTACTGGTTGTTTACCATTGTGAATAAAGTGGCTAATGATTTGCTATGAGTCACTTCTGCTGCCCAACATCATATGAAAGTACTGTCACATGGCTAGCCTAGGAAATGGATTTAAACTCATATATTAAATAGAAATTATACTTCAAATTTAAAAAAAAATATTTATTTATTTATGTTTAGGTGTAGATGGATACAACACAATGCCTTTATTTTTATGTGGTGCTAAGAATCGAACCCAGGTCCTGCTGGTGCTAGGCGAGCACTCTACCGCTGAGCCACAATCCCAGCCCCTGTATTTCAAATTTTATCACTTAACACTATTGTAAATTGGAAAGACTGTTTGGGACCCCATTTCACAACTCTGTAATCTGTGCACACCCACAATACACACCCAGGAATTATTTTCATTTCTGTATTTTTGTCCTTCAGTGACTTTGCTGATCTTATTCTATACTATTTCTTATAGTGTATGTCCACAGACATTTCTGCTACTATGTTATTTTTCATATTCCAGGAATTCTGACCTGACTTCCTAGAAGTCACCTCTATATCAGCATAAGTGGTCACCTCTTATGGTTCAGATATGAACTCTCTCAGGAAAAGTTCATGTGTTTGAAACAAGGTAGCCTCTGCAAGAATGTTCGTAGTTGTAATGATTAGACTATGAGAGCTGTGACTGCATCAGTAGATCAATCCATTTGATGGATTAATAATTTGAATGGATTACTGAATGGTAACTAAAGGGAGGTGGGGCATGGCTGGAGGAAGGAGGTCATTGGGGGAATGATTTGGGGGATTATATTTTGTCCCTGGCTATTCATGTTTTTTTTTCTTTTTTTCCTTCCTGGCTTCTATGAACTTTCTATCACTTCACCTTTCTGCTATGATGTGCTGCCTCCCCTCAGTCCCAAAGCAATGCAGTTGGCCAACCATGGACCGAACCTTTGAAACTGTGAGCCCAAATAAGACTTTCTTCCTCTAAGTTGTTCTTGTCAGATATTTTGGTCATAGCAATAAAAAGCTAACATATCACCAGATAATTAGAAGATCTCTTCAAGTGTCTTGAGCCAGTAGGTCTCTCCACCCTTTGCTGAGGSCATCTATGTGTTGGGGCATACCTTCAAAGTTCATAATTTTCAAGTGTGCCATAGCAAAGAAACATGGTAATTGAATTGCTTGGTTTATATGATAATTATCTATTTCTGTGTAACAAACTGCTCCAAAACTTAGTGTCTTAAAGCAATATTCATTTCACTCATGCATCTGCAATTTGGGCAGGCAGAGGAATGTTGTCTCTGTTCCACTTGGTACCAGTTGGGCTGGCTTGAAAGCTAAGGGTTAGAATCATCTAAAGGTTGTACATACTCATATACCTGGTGCCTGACGGGGCTGTTGTCTGGAATATAAATCAGGACTCTAATCAGAACCTGTTATCTGGACCTTTCCTAGGGTCTGRCATCCCAAGTATATCAGTCAGAAGCTATATTGCCTATTGTGAGTTAGTCTTGGAACTCATGTAGTGTCACTTCTGCCACAAACACAGGCCTGCCTGCCCAGATTCAAAGGCAAGAACATGGATCCTACCTCTTGACGGGAGAGTGCAATATCACACTGTAAGGTCAGCATGTAGAACAGGATGCACTGGTGTAGAGCTCTTTGGAAAGTACAATCTGCTGCATCAAGTGAATCAATGAAGGACAATGTAGTGGTGTGACACTGTACGCCAACTAATGGATTACAACTGAAATACAAATATCACCTATTAAGTATTCTTGTCAAATTATTTAATCTGAACCTCACTGAGTTTCTAACTTTGATTCGTGAGAAATAGTGGGGATAAATGAGCACATTAAAAATATTTTGAGGGCTGGGGATGTGGCTCAAGCGGTAGCGTGCTCGCCTGGCATGCGTGCGGCCCGGGTTCGATCCTCAGCACCACATACCAACGGGGATGTTGTGTCCGCCGAGAACTAAAGAATAAATATTAAAAATTCTCTCTCTCTCTCTCTCTCTCCCCCTCTCTCTCTCTTTAAAAAAAAAAAAAGAAAAAAGAAAAAAGAAAATATTTTGAAAAAACAAAGAAAAAAATTTATAATCTACACAACTATCCTAAACTTTGAAAAAAGTCAATGTGATAACATTGGGGAAAAGGGCTACTCTTGAACTGTTCCACGATAGAAAAAAGAGACCGAATGTTAGAGATTATAGAATAATCTCCTTGGTTGTGAAGCTATGTAGTGATTAAGTAGAAGGCAGCTTTTACTCTTGAAAGGCTGACGTGTTATGACATCCATTTATATTCAAATATTACAACAAAGAAGTGTAAATGTCATATTGACACAAAGCAAATTATATATTAATTACTACTGAACATGGTGAGGACACACCAGGGGTCACTATACTATCTTAATTTTTCTGAATGAACAGTAGTCTTTTGGTGGCTTCTAATTTACCAATTAATGGGAAGAAATTATAAATTATAGCATATCTTGTTTTTGGGTCATGAAAAGGCATTACAGCTTTCCTGATTCTTTAAAATCTTTACTCTTGTCATCTTTACACTCATGAAATCTAGAGATTYCTTTTTCCTATTTTCAGAGATGAGCTCTGCCTTTGGAAATAGAAGTTCACTCTCTTTTACTGGATTTTATCTGGTTATTCACATTTACTGAGTGAAAGGTAATGGGTGGTTTTTAAGTTCACCCATGTAGTATTCCTTTTAAGTGAATTTACTAATGGTACCATTAGTGATAAAAATAATATAGTAAGGGACTGTGGCTATAGCTCAGTGYAGTGTGCTTGCCTAGCACTTGTGAGGCACTGGGTTCAATCCTCAGCACCATATAGAAATAAAGGTATTGTGTCCATCTACAATTAAATATAACAAAATAAGAACAGTAATATTAAGCACATGCTTTCTCAAGTACTCTTCTAAAAGTTTCCATTTTTATTTCATCCTCACAAAAATACTACTAGGTAGATACTATCATTTTAAAACTGAGGCACAGAAGGGAAGAGTCTTGCCAACTTCTGCACAGGCAGAAATGAACTTATGACTTAGAACAATGATGTGCTATGGCTGAAGTCCTTCCTACACTCATTTCATCAACAATCATCTTCTGTTCTAGTTCTAAAAGTGTGGACCATGTGGATGAATTGTTTGCTTCTGGCCTACAATGAGTTAAGGGCCAGACAGTGGGAGCAAGCGTTTAGAAATTTATAGCAATCTGACAGATGATTTATGRCTTTAAATAAGAAAAATGGAGCTTTTATAGTGTTCCTTTCTATTTCCTCCCCATCCCCCTGTAAACCAATGTTCTTGCACTTTACAGAAGTACTGCTCAACATCAGCTTGTGAGGGGGGAAAAAGTTCTCAATGGCTTGAGCTGCACTGCGCCAGAATCAATCTGCTAAACCTGAACCAAGACTGAGTGATGTTATGGTTTTGAAACTTTAAAAACCTACATGTAAAATAATTTGTAAATATGAAGCAAAAGTGATTCCTACATATTCCCTAATATGTAAAAATACATTACGAATCCTTGATGTAAAAGGCATTTTCAAGAACCCATTGTATCCTCTACATCATGCATAGTGTTTCCTCACTAGTATGACTTCTCTGGTGTAAAGTAAGCTGGTCACTACGAATAAAGGCCTTCCCACACTCTTCACACTTATAAGGCTTTTCACCAGTGTGAATTCTGTGATGTCGAGTAAGTTCTGAATTAACATTAAAGGCCTTCCCACACTCCTTACATTTATAAGGTTTCTCTCCAGTATGAACTGCATAGTGTCGGGTAAGTTCTGCTTGAAGGCGAAAGGCATTCCCACATTCCTTACACTCATAAGGTTTCTCACCAGTATGAAGTCTAAAGTGTTGAGTAAGATGGTACCGACGACTAAAGGTCTTCCCGCACTCCTTACATACATATGGAATCTCACCAGAGTGAATTCTTTGATGTAAGGTAAGTTGATAACTACAAATAAAAGCATTTCCACACTCACTACAGACGTAGGGTTTCTCACCAGTGTGGATTCTGTAATGTTGAGTAAGACGATAGTGACGACTAAAGGTCTTCCCACACTCCTTACATTCGTAAGGTTTTTCACCAGTATGAATTCTGTAATGTTGAGTAAGATGATTGCTACGAATAAAGGCTTTCCCACATTCTTTGCATTTATAAGGTTTTTCACCAGTATGAATTCTGTGRTGTTGAGTAAGTTCTGTCTGAAAACGAAAGGACTTTCCACATTCTTTACATTCATAGGGTTTTTCACCAGTATGAATTTTATAATGTTGAATAAGATTGTAACGACGACTACAAATCTTCCCACATTCTTGACATTCATAGGTATTCTCATTAGTGTGATTTCGCTGGTGTGAAATAAGTTGACTGCTACGAATAAAAGCCTTCCCACATTCCTTACATTCATAAGGTTTCTTGCAAGTATGAATCCTGAGATGCCGGGTAAGCTCTGCTTGAAGACGAAAGGCTTTCCCACATTCCTTACACAGGAAGGGTTTCTCACCAGTATGTATTCTGTAATGTTGAGTAAGATGATAGCGGCTACTGAAGGTTTTCCCACATTCCTTACATTCATAAGGAACATTACCAGTATGAGTTCTCAGATGCAAAGTAAGTTGGTAGCCACAAATAAAACCCTTCCCACATTCTTTACATTCATAGGGCTTCTCACCAGTATGAGTTCTGTGATGCCGAGTAAGTTCTGTTCGAAGACGAAAGGCTTTCCCACAGTCTTTACATGCATAGGGTTTCTCACCAGTATGAATTCTATGATGTCGAGTACGTTCTGCATAAAAACTGAAGGACTTACCACATTCCTTACATTTGTAGGGTTTCTCACCAGTATGAATTTTCTGATGTTGGACAAGGTATGAACTATGACTAAAGGCCTTCCCACATTCATTACATTTAAAGGGTTTTACACCCGTATGGATTTTCTGATGTTGACTGATATGTCGTTGTACCCTAAAGGTCTTTCCACAAACCTTACATTCATAGGGCCTCTCACCAGTGTGAATTCTTTGATGTTCACCAAGTTGATAATTAAGTCTAAAGGTCTTCCCACATTCTTTACATTCATAGGGTTTCTCCCCAGCATGAATTGTCTGATGTACTCTGAGGTCTCTAACTCTACTAAAGTTCTTCCCGCATTCCTTACACTCATAGGGTCTCACACCAGAATGTATTCTCTGATGTTCAGTAAGGTGATAGTGAAGTCTAAAGGCCTTCCCACATACTTTACATTCATAGGGTCTCTCTCTCTTCCCGCATTCCTTACACTCATAGGGTCTCACACCAGAATGTATTCTCTGATGTTCAGTAAGGTGATAGTGAAGTCTAAAGGCCTTCCCACATACTTTACATTCATAGGGTCTCTCTCCAGCATGGATTGTCTGGTGTACTCTAAGGTCTCCCACTCGACAGAAGGCCTTTCCACATTCCATGCATTTATAAGGTCTCTCACCAGTGTGAATTCTCATATGTTGAATAAGGTAAGACTGTTGTCTAAAGGCCTTCTTACATTCCTTACATTTATATGGTTTCTCTCTAGGATGAATTTTCTGTTGTAGAGGAAGAGAGACTTGGTTTTGGATTATCATTTGACTAATGCATCCCACCTGATGTTCCTCTTTTCTCTCAAATTCACGCTTGTTCTGCAATCCATCTCTGAAAATGGTATCCCCATTTTTGGTTTCACTTTTTTCCACTGTCTGAAATTGAGACAAATATTTTTCACAAACATCCTTTTCTGGAAATAACTTCTTGGTGAAATCTGTTTAAAAAAAAATAACAATGCTAGTTTCTGTGTTGAGGGTGCAATGATGGGCTACATCTTTCAATAGAAATAAAAAGTGATCTGAAATAACAGACTTAAAGGTTTGAAGCAAGACTCGGCAAATTTTGCTATAAAGGGCCAGATGGTGAAGGTTTTAGGCTTTGTAGACATGTTGTATCTGTCATAACTACTTAGCTCTGCTGTTAAGCTCAAAAGCCGTCACAATCTGTAAAATTGAATGAGTATAGCTGTGGTATGATCCACTTGAAGTTTGAGTCTGAAAACACCTTTTCTCAATCATTTAACATTAAGTCACTTCCTCAGGAAGACTGCCCTGATAACCATGTCTAAGTCCATGTTCTTGAATTTATATTCCAGCACACAGTTCTGTGACTTTCCTCAATTATATATTTTCTAACTTATTGTATGAATTTTATTTGTGTCTATACTTAGAGACTTAGATATCTGTTTCAATTCCTGACAATGAATAAGCTTGAACCCGGAACATGTTAAATAACTGCAGAACAAATACACCACTGGATTCAAAAGATAACACAGCCAGAATAAAAGCAAATATTGCATTCAAGTTACTGAGGAAAGTAGCTAATTATAATAACTGGTATATTCATAATTTCMCAAAATATTTATCTCTGATTCTAATCTCTCAACAAATATGCTCTTATTTCATTCCCCTATAAAGGAATAAATGTATACCCAAGCTACATCAGCCAAATGTATGAATAGAAAAATGTCATTTTTATAACTRATTTTTCAATCACCTATTTGTTACCTTGACCTAAGGGTTCTCCACTGTTTATATCCCACCCTGTGTACAGTCACCATTGATTGTCTCTGCCAATTAGAATAATACTAAGATATTAAGCATCAGCTGGGTTTTAGTATTCATTCCACAGATACTCAAACTCCAATAATTATATTGTAGGTTCTTGCTGGTAAAGTAAGGGAGGAAAATAATAAACTTCAGGAAGAAAATAAGTCTTTATTCATAGATGAAGTGGGTTGAATAGTAGCCTCCAGAAAAGATATATCCAAGTCCTAACTCCTGGTACCTGTGAAAGTGACCTAATTTGAAAAGTCTTTACAGATGTTATCAAGTTAAAGATCTCAAGATGCAATCATCTGAAATAATAGGTGTACCTAGAGTGAGATGAAGATTACATCATTGTCTTTTGTATCTGGTGTCTAAAGATGAGACAGCCAAGCTAAGGAACACCAAGGATTGTCACCAATCACCATTTCGTAAATTGTCAGATTCAGAAGGCTAACATTTTGTTCAGAATTTCTCCATCTGTTTATAAAGGATTTTTTAGATTTCTCAATGTCTGTCTGGTTTTGGTATCAAAGCAATACTGGCCTTGTAGAAAGAGTTTGGAAGTATTCAAGTTTCTAGAAGAGTTTATCTACAATTGATATACAAATATAAAATCTTATAACTAAAACTTCTAGAAGACATGACATAATGGCTGAATAGAGGCACCTAACACAAGGAAGAACCAAAGCAACAGGTGTATAACTGCACACTGAAGTGAGTAACCAAGAGAACACTGGAAATCAACAGAAAAGTAGAAATCTTGGAAATCCAGAGACCTGGAATAACTGCATGGTAAGAGAAGCAATACAGCTGGGGGAAATGGGACCTATCCTCCTAAAGGTAAAGGTGAAAGGAAGTCCCAGAAAACTCAGTTGGTGCACACACTGGCAGTCCTAGCTATTGGAAACCCTTACAGACAAGCAACCCAAGAAAATAAGAAACCAAAAGTCTGCATAGTAGGCTGGCTTTGGAAAAAGACACTCTCAGTGAACAAGCAGGGTGTTGTAGCCAGAAGCCATGTTAAGACAGGACCTTCTGTCTGAATTTGGACTGTTCTAGAGGACAGAAACCCTTGCACATTTCCATCTCTGGGTCCCCACAAACATTGCCCTGCAATGGCTAACTTCAGTAACTTTCACACAAACCTGAGTGTATCACTGTAGGGAATGGGTGTTGTAAAACAGAAGGGAACAAAGGCTGCCACCTCCAGAAAAGGGGATCTGTTCTCCAAGACCAGGGGTGTGGCCAGTCATGTGGTTTCACATGGGTGCCAGGACTAAAGGCAATTACACAATTCCTGCTGGCCCTCTCCCTAGCACCACACACAGGTGCCTATCACAAGGCAGGGAAAGAACTCTGGTTCCAATGCTTCTTTTTGCCCCTATGAAGCACTGGGCTTGCACCAGTGTCTAATCAAAGAGTGAGTGCTCTGGGCTCTCCCTGCTATCGGAGCATCAGARTTAATAGGACCAAAGACAAGCAGTTAATAGCACCAGTGCCTGAGGAAACCCCCATTACCTGATAGGGATAACCACGCCCWTTGTAGGAGTAGCATAGTGTTGTCTGCACCACACCTGCCTGACTGCTCACATCCCCCAGTCTTCCATGACCCATAGAGACAGTGAGTCTGACTCCAATATGATACTATGTACAAACTCACTAGATACAGCCAAAGAAGCTACAGGGAGATTATGGTTATGCAATGTTTATTTCCGCCTGGGCACCAATATCCCCAAGCATACCTTCAGAAGAACTTTGCTAAGAAGTCCATCCCATAAAGGTAGTAGAGAGATCCTACCAGATGCACAAATCTCGACCAAAAAAACCCCAGAAATATGGGAAAAAATGCCTAAAGGTCATAAATGCTCTAGTAAAAGACTTTAAAGATGTTGAAGTAGATGAAATGCCTGATAAAGAATTCAAAAAATGGGGCTGGGGATGTGGCTCAAGCAGTAGCGCGCTTGCCTGGCATGCGTGCAGCCCAGGTTCGATCCTCAGCACCACATCCAATGATGTGTCTGCCAAAAACTAAAAAAATAAACATTAAAAAATTCTCTTAAAAAAAAGAATTTAAAAAATGACTTTTTAAAAGATTGATGAAATCCATAAAAATAAATCCATAAAAATACACATAAGCAGTTAAATYAGGAAGATAATGCAGGCTAATGAGAAATCCAACAAAGAATAAAGATTGTGAAGAACTATCAGAAAACTCAAATGAAGAGCTCAATGTGTCAAATCCAGTTGAAAGCTTCAAAAACAGACTAAAGTGGAAGGAAAGAATACTGGAGCTTGAATTATAGGTCTCCTGAATATCAGATTCAGATAGGAAAAAAAATGCGTTCAAGATCTTTGGGACACAATTAAAATATCAAACATCCACATCAACATAGGGGAAGAAATTAAGGCTAAGGACATAGAAGCCCTATTCAAAGAGATAATTGAAAACTTCCCTATTCTTGGGAAAAACATGGGTGTCCAGGAATAAGATGCTTATAGAACCCCAAACAGACATGATCAGAAAAGATCCTCACTATGACAGAGTCAAACTGTCAATTGTAAAGGATAAAGAATTTAAAAATCTGCAAGTGAGAAACAAGTCACATTTAAAAGCAACCCCATTAAATTTCATAGGAAAAAATCCTCCAAGCCAGGAGGGCACGGAATGATGGTTTTCAAGTCCTGGGAGAGTTGTGAGGACTGTCAACCAAGATTACCATACCCATTAAGTAATCCTTCAGAAAAGGAGAAATAAACAAAAGGATAAACAAAAACTGAGGGAATTCATGGTCCCAAAACCAGCCTAACAAAAGATGCTTAAGGGAGTCCTACACTCAGAAGAGGAAAAAAGGTAATGTGAAAGTATAATTATACTAGAAAAGTACTTGTATAAAAGAGAAATAGAAAAGAATACAGTAAATTATCAAATCAAAGATGAATAAAAGGAAGAAACATGAAATATTTAAAACTAGAACAATATCAACAAAATGCCAGGCACAAGTCCATATCTTTCAATAATGTAAGACATTAAATTCTCCAAATAAAAGACAGACTGGCTGACTGGATTAATTAATAAACAATATCCAACAATCTACTGCCTACCAGAAATWCTTCACCAATAAAGACAGGCTAAAAATGAAAAGATAGAAAATAATATTTCAAGCAAACAATCCTAAAGCAAGTAGGAGTAGCTATTCTTACAGCTAACAAAACAGCCTTTAAGACATAAATAGAGGGGCCGGGGCTATAGTTCAGTGGCAGAGCYCTTGCCTAGCATGTATGAGGTACTGGGTTTGATCCTCAGCACTACATAAAAATAAACAATAATGGCATTCTGTCTACAACTATTAAAAAAAGTTTTTTTTTAAAAAGACAAAGAAGGTTGCTATATAATGATTAAAAGATTTATCAAGAAGATACAATTATAAATCCAAATGTACCTAATTTCAGAACACCCAATGTTATAAACAAGCACATACCAAAAGGAAGGAAATAGGCTTCAATAAGTCCAATAATAGTAGGGGATCTCAATATCCCATTCTTACCAATAGATAGCTCACCCAGACAAAATATCAGAGAAACATCAGAGTACCTGGAGATTCAAAAGGAAACATTATATTCTATATCACGTAAATCAATTAGGGATTATTTTGAAAAACTACATGCTAACAAGTTGGAAAATCTAGAAGAAATTGGACAAATGTGTGGATACTAAGAACCTATGAAAATCGAACCATGAATATAATATACATAGAATGATATAAAACAACTGATCTAAACCAATAAGTAATGAGTTGAGGGCTGGGGCTGTATCCATGTGGCAGAGCACTTGCACTGGGTTCGATCCTTAGCATCACAAAAAAATAGACATTCTGTCCATCCACAACTATAAAAAAAATAAGCAATGAGCTGAATCAGTAATGATTCCCCCCCCCCAAAAAAAGGACCACATGGGCTTATTGCTAAATTTTATCAAACTTTTAAAGAATTAACACCAATGCTTATCAAACAGTTCCACAGAATTAGAAGGGACGTGATCCTTCAAAACTCATTCTACAAGGTCAAAACCTGGCAAGGAAACGTACACATAACTCAACCATAGACCAATATATACATAGATGCAAACATTCTTAACAAAATACTAGCAAATTGAATTCAACAGCATAACAAAAATATCATACCCATGATCAAACTGGTTTCATTCCAGGGATATAAGGATGGTTAAAATAATACATAGAATGAAGAATAAAAATCAAAACCTCAAAGATGCAGGAAAAGAATTTGCTAAAACTCAACATCTCTTCATGATAAAAGCCTTAAATAAGGAACATCAAGATCATATCTCAAAGACTATACATGACAAACACATAGCTAATAACATACTTGGGGAAAAAACAAAGCATTTCCTATAAGGTCAGAAACAAGGATGTCAGCTCTCATTCCATATACTAGAAATAAACTAGTACTATAAATTTTAGAGCAATTAGGCAAGAGAAATAAAAGGTATACAAATAAGAAAAGATGTCAAATTATCCCTGTTTGCAAATATGATTCTATACATAGRAAAAACTTAAAAGATACACCAAAAGACAGACTGTGAGAATGGATAAATGAATCCAATATATTAATAGTATTTAAAAAAATATAAAAATCGGTAACTTTTCTGTACCAATAATGAATTTGCAGAGAAGTCATAAAAGCAATTCCATTCAGAATAGCCCTCCCCTCAACAAATACATAGAATAATTTAAGAAAATGAAAGACCTCTACGATGAAAATTAGAAAACACTGAAGAAATGGAAGACACCACAAGGTAGAAGGACCTACCATGTTCATGAATTAAAATAATTGTTAAAATGTTCATACTATCCAAAGCAACTCTAGATTCAATGCAACTGCCATCAAAATACCAACAATATTCTTCACAATTTTAGAAAAGACAATCCTAAAATTTATATGGAAACACAAAAGACCCCAAAYAGCCAAAGCATTCTTGAGCAAAAAAGAGCAAAATTGGAGGCATCGTAATACCCAATTTGAATACATGCTATAGGACTACAGTAATCTAAACAGCATGGTATGGACACAAAAACAGATACATAAAACAAAGGAACAGAATGAGTACTCAGAAATAAACTATGCATCTTAGGCAAGAGAAATAAAAGGTACACAAATAAGAAAGGTATACAAATAAGAAAGGTATACAAATAAGATTATCAACATTACACAAAACATACATTGGAGTAAGTACAGCCTCTTCAGCAAATGTTGCTGGGAAAACTGGACATCCACAAGCAAGAGATTGAAACTAGACTTCAATCCCTTACTCTGTACAGAGCAAGGGATCTAAGGATCTAAATCAATTCAAAATCTTTAAGACTTGAAACTTAAATTACTTGGGGGAAACACAGGGGAAAATACTTCAAGATATTGGTATAGGCAATGATTTTCCAGAAAGGAATTCAAAAGCACAGAAAACATGAGCATAAAAATGGGATTATGTCAAACTAAAAAGCTTCCACACAGTAAAGGAAACTATAGTGATGAAACCTCTTCAGAAGAAAATATTTGGCATTTATTCACCTGACAAGGTTAATATCCAGAATATAAGAATAACTCAAAAAACTTTTTAAAAATCCAGTTTAAAAATATGGGCAAATCATCTGAACAGTTCTCAGAAGAGGAAATACAAAAGATCAGTAAATATTTTTTTTAAAAAATGTTCAGCAACTAGCCAATAGAGAAATGCAAATCAAACTACAATAAGATACCAGTTCACCCCAGTTAGAATGGCTATTACTAAAAAAAATTAAATAACTAATGCTGGTGAGGATGTAAAGAAAAAGAACTCATATGCGATCGGTGGGAATGTTAAATGAATACAGCCATTGTGGAAAACTGTGGTGATTCCTCAAAAAAAAAAAAAAAAAAAGAACTCCCATACAACCCAATTATCCCACTACCAAAGAAAATGAAGCCAGCATAAGAAACAGATACCTGCATGTCCATGTTTACYGCAGCACTTTTCACAATAGCTAAGGTAAGGAATCGGCGTAGGTGCCTGCCGACAGATGAATGCATAAAGAAAATATGATACGTATAGATAATGCAGTATTATTCAGCCAAAAAGAAGGATGCAATTCTGTCACGGCAAAATGGATGGAAATTGAGGACCATCATGTTAAGTGAAATAAGCTAGATACAGAAATCTGACAAGAATTACATATTCTCTCTCATGTGGGGAAAAAAAAGTCAACCTGAGAGTAGAAAAGTGATTACTAGGGACTGGGAAGGGTGGCAGAGGCTAAAGGTAGAAGGATGGATGGGTGTGATCAATGTACATTGTATGCAAGTATGGAATTTCACAGTGAATCCCATTAATCCATACAATTAGTATGTGTTACTAATAAGTTTAAAAGAAAACAGAAAAGCTTTGTATCTTGAGGGTTGCTAGATATGCTACTGAAACCATAGTCAATGAAAGAGAAAAGTAATAAACTGTACTTAAGAGTTTATGCTACTTAAGAGACAAAAATATTCCAGAGAAAATATTTACAAATTAAATACTGGATAAAGGACTTGTTCATGAAAACTCAATAAGGAAACAAAAGATTCCAATAGACACTTCACCAAAGAAGAAAAATGGATGAGAACTTAAGCAATGAAAAGTTGTTCAAGATGATTAGGATTAGGGAAATGAAAATTAGAACTACAATATGATACCACTACCCACCTATTAGCATAGCTAAAATTAAAAAGGCTGATCAAGTGCTGGCAAGAACATAGAGGTGCCAGAACTCCCAGAAACTTCTGCTGGGAAGGAAAATGATCAAAACTACTCTCACAAAGTGTTGTGKTTTTTTTTTAAGTTTAAATATGCATTTACCAAATGATTCACCTATTCCATCCCAGATATTTACCCAAGAGTAAATAAAGTATATGCCCATATAAGGACTTTTACAAGAATGTTCCTAGAAGCTTTATTTGCAATAGACAAACTCTAGAAATAACACAATGTCCATTAACATGTAAATAGCTAAATGAATTGAGATACATCCTTTCAAAGGAATACTTCTCAACATTAGAAAGGATGAATTTCAAAATAATTATGCTGACTAAGGCTAAATGAACAATCATTAAATGATTCCATTTATACAAAATTCTAGAAAATGCAAAYTAATCTGAAGTCACAGACCAACGAACAGTGGGAGCCTGGGCAGGGGGTAGAGAATGGCATGAGGAAGATTGTTTTTGCAAGAATTGGCTATTATTTTAATTTTGTAATGTTTTCATAATATACATGCCAACTTATCAAATTTTATATTTTAAATATGCAGTTTACATTATGCCARATTTCATTTCTATTTCAATGAAACTATTTTTAAAAATTAGACACTGACACTTAAAATGGTTACATAAAAACATGTACCCATGTATATATGATTAAGAAAATACATTTGGCAGGTGCTCTGGCACAYGCCTGTAATCCCAGAAGCTTAGGAGGCTGAGGCAGGAGGATGGCAGTTTCCAAACCAGCCTCAGAAGCTTAGGCCATGTGACTTTTGAGGAAGRGTATTCTGAGACCTTATTTCATATCTGCTCAAAGTTCATCAATTTGGATAGCCTTTCCTAAAGTAGCCCTCACAATGTTCCAATACTGTCCCCTTATCTGGCTTAATTTTCTTCAAAATACATATCTAAACCTGATATTGTCTGTTTAGTTTTCCTTATTACGATATCAACATCTCTATGACAATAGGAACAATCATCAGTAGTACCTAGACTCTAACACAGTAAGTACAGTGGCTTACGCTAGATAAATAGGAAATACTTGTTAAAATTAATTCTAAARAATGGAGAAATTAACATAAATCTACATGTAAAAAAGGACCTGGAAACTGGTAAATGGCTGTCAAAGGGTAATAAAGAAAGCATCACTCCTTGAGATGGGAAGCAACCAGCTCTAAAATTTATAGGAGTTGGGGATGTAKCTCAGTGAAAGGGCTTGCATCCCGAGCACTGTTGGGGGAAAAAAAAAAAAAAGGAACATGACAGAAGAGAGAGAAGCCTAATTTCCTAATTTTTCACAGGCTTCACAGGATCTGGGCCTTTGAAGTGCGACTTCAAACATCTCATCGAAGTGCCTCCTCCCTGAGCCAGTGAGCCATAGCTTATGCTGGCTCCCTGCCTGGTCTGCCATCACTCACCTGAGGACAGCCTTCTTGTTTCTTCCCTCRTTTCCAGCCATGGATCTTTCTCTTGCTCCAATAAAACAATCACATCTGGCTTAGGAATGATACATCCTGCTCATGAGAAAACAGGATACATGTTATAGGGAAAAAAAACCACCAAATCCCAACCACAGCCTCAAAATGACTACATGCGGACTTGGTTACATTCACAATCAACTGTAGGTCAAATGGTATTTGAAAAAGCCTTCAAGACAAAATAGAAAAAGGCCATGGAACAGTCACATTAAGATGGACCCATGAGTATGGGACTAAAGAGACCAGGTAAGAGAGGAAAAAGGTCCAGTTTGCTTTCAAAGGAAGTCTACAGAGGCACCGTGAGTACACACTGTGCAGCCCCATGGCTGGCTTCAAATCTGCCAATCATTCCAGCTGTGTGACCTTGAAAAGCTACCATCCAGTGTTGTACTTTTATCAAATGCACTACTTCATAGGGCTGAAGTGAGAACACAAACACAAAGGGGCTTAAAAGGATGCCTAGAAATTATGGTAGTATTTTGTTGTTACTATTTTGCATAGAGAAATATACTGTTTCCTAAAATACTTTCATGTTCCCCCTTAGACATTTCTTCAATGGAAAAAGCAAACTTCATAGACTAACTTTCAAYTATAAAGCAGGTAAAAAAGAATATGTCTCTTCCAGATAGGGTGTGTTTGCTTGATTTTAAATGAATTTTGCAACCCAATCCTCCACCATTTAATCCAGAGAAGTTCTTTTGATAACCTAAAAAAAAGCAGAACCCTAATTCTAACTGTTCTCTTGCAGGTGGGCCAGACCTTAATACAGAGCCACTGTAGAAATATTAGATGAAACCTAGTTTCTGAAAATGTCACACAACTCAAATCTACGAATCACCTAGAAAAACAGGCAATAACAGGAGGGGCCAGAGGGAGGAATGAGTGTCAATAAAGAATGGAAACACAGGTGTCATTTCCATCCCACAATGTTCAAACCATTTCTTTAGAAATAGAGGCAGAAATTCAACTGGCTTCTTAAAACAAAGCTCTAAAGTTCAACAGTGGGGAGAGCTGATATTCCAGAAAACAGACTGTAAATGACGTGGGTGGGTATCTTACCCAGTGAGATGAGGTTGCTGTAGTTTTCCAACATCACCTCCCTGTACAAGTCCCTCTGAGCAGTGTCCAGGCACTCCCACTCCTCTTGAGAAAGATCTATGGCCACATCCCTGAATGCCAAGGACACCTGAAATAACAAATCCATGTATTATAAAAGTTTTTTAAAATGCATTTTCAAGATAAAAAACTGGCAGGAAAGAAGCAACATTGTAAGCAAGCAGACTGAGGCTTGAGCTTGCAAAAATAAGGAAATTAGTCTTTTTWAAATATTTTTGTTTAGTTGTGGGTGGACACAATACCTYTATTGATTTATTTTAATGTGGTGCTGAGGATCAAATACAGTGCCTCACATGTGCTAGGCAAGTGCTCTACCACTGTGCTACAACCCCAGCCCAGGAAATTAGCATTTTTGAAGTTGAGTGCTTACATGCTTTTAAATAATACTAGTGATAAAGACAAAATGTCCTGCATGCCATCAGATAACAAAATTATCCAAAGGTATGGGAATGACCAAAAAAAAATCCAAGTTTCCCAATTCAATGAAACAGCATACGCAAGCACACACTGCCTGCTTGTACCTGCATTTTAAATTCTGAATAAATATCAGTTTCTTCATTCTTTCTCCCTTCAGGTTATTAGGAAAAAGACATTTTTTTCTCCAAAAGTACTCTCAAATCTCTTAAAAAACAGAACTTGAGTGACATTATATGATTTCATCAACTTCAAGTTCATCTTTACACAAGAGAATGTCATAAAGTCATTAGGAAATATATTTATTGGCTAGTTAATCATATTATCTATTGCTATGGGTTGAGTATGGTTTACACACGTCTCTAAGGACGTGTTGAAATTTAATCCCTATGAGGTATTAAGAGGTGGATCTGGGCATAGTGCTGCATGCCTGTAGTCCCAGCCTCCTGAGAGGGAGGCTGAAGCAGAAGGTCCACTTGAGCCCAGGAATTAGGGGCCAGCCTGGGTAACATAATGAGATCCATACCTTAAAGAGAATGGAACTCAATCTGACTATGGTGTTCAGAGCGGGACCTTTGGAAAGTGATTAGAATTAGATAAGCTTATCAGGGTAGAGACCCCATGATCGTACTAGTGGCTACATAAGAAGAAAGAAATCAGAGAACATGGACATGCATGGACATGCCCTGCGTCTTGCTGTGTGACTCCCTGAAATGCTTTGGGACTCTGCCAGTAAGAAGGTCATCACCAGATGTGGCCCCCTGACCCATGGGCTTCCAGAACTGTATGTAAGCCAAAATAAATCATTTCTTTACAAAGTACACAGCCTAGGCTATTCATTAGAATAACATAAAACAAACACGTCCATCTTGTGGACAAGTCAGTTAATCTTTCTTTTATACTTAAGGGCTTACTTTGGATAAAATGTTGACATCAGCCTATTTCCATCCATCATTGGGAATCTGGAAGACCTTCCTGCCTACAACCTCCCCATCCTTCAATAACACCTGCCTCRTTCCTGAGCTACAGGACGCTGATGTCATGAGACCAGTACAACATTCTCAACCACAAAGCTAAATTGACTTTTGTCCTATTGCTCATCCCTTAGATAATCCCCTGACTAGATCCCTAAAGCCCCCAAACACGGCCCCCATTGCACTCCCACTGAGACCTCTACGCCTCTCAGTGCATAAGATCTACGTCTTCATATTCGAGGGCAACACGCTCAACAATATATTCCATCGACCTGGAAAACAGGCCTTTGAAGTTGGATGGAACCCTCTCTGTTTCACAGAATCATTAATCTGATGACAGAAGCTCAAATATTTCCCTTGAGGGACTTCATCTTTCGCTGCTCTGTCAATGCTCCTGCAAGAAGACGAGGCACACAGATGAGAGATGAGTAGGTGAGCACAGGTAAGAGAAAACAAGGGTAGATGAAGAGGACACCAGGCAGTTTGGCACCATCCCTCACTGTGGTCACAGTAACTGAGGAGCAGGCTTCACAGGGCTGTCTTAGGAAGGAAGTCTCAGGACAATAAAAACAACTGCACGGGGGGAAGGGAGTGTGGGTCAGTGGTGGAGAGTCTGACTAGCAAGTGAGAGTTCTCCTGGCTTTGATCCCAGAACTACAAAATAAAACTTAGAAATGACCACATAAATTTTAAAATACAGTATTTCAAGGAAGAGAAAAAGGAACTTACATGGGCCATGATTTTAGAACTGTAAGAACTTGTCAGTCCTCTGTGGGTTCCCTCCACTGCAGAAGCAGAGTCCAGAGAAGCCAGGCCTGTGGAGGAACACRTGACTTTGAGACTAGGTAGGTATATGTCAGAACTCCACAAATAATTTAATGCCAATATGAAGCAGTTTTTCCTTCATTTCTATTTTCAACCCCACCATGCTGCACGTACTAATGTGGAGAGATGAGMAGAATCATGGATGAAGCCATGCCCTCCCTAGGCCAAAGGAACTACCTGCACAGACCTCCTGCAGGACCTCCTGCAGGAAGCCAAACCACTCATTCCAGCAGAAGGGCCTCCTGGCCCATCCCAATTTCTGATGATGCTGATGTGTTACTGAAATTGAATGACGTCCCTAAGTCTTTGTCCATGTTCACCTAAGAGCTAAGATGTGGCCATCCCATGCAAACCTCAATATCATTCATGGCTTGAATGTGTGCCTAGATTCTGAGACACGGAGGCAGAAAACAGTAGGCAGTATTTCCCACTGCAAAACTGACCGGAGTTCTTGCTCAGCCAGAACTACAGCCCCCAGAATCCTCTGTGCTGTTTTCAACCAACCTGTTTCCTATCAGGATTGTCTATTTTGCTTTCCCACATGAAGTCATGACTACACACACACACACACACACCTCAATATCAAGCCTCGGGAGGTGAGACTTCATGACCACATTGGCCGAGAACAAAATGAAACATCTTTAGGATCTTCAGCGTGATGGTCCCTTAGCATTTCATCATGCAGTTATCTCCAACAGAGGAGGTGAGGAAGCGCAAAGCAAAGTACTTTGCCAAAACTCACAGTAAGAGGAAGAGGTGTATTTTTAGTAAAGTCAATTTTCTTCCAACTATGGCTTTTGCTAGATTTTGCAGGATTTTTTACTTTGAGTGAAATCTGAGCATTGGTAATTCACAAAATACATCACCCTCTGAATTTCTTAAATTTCAACAGGATTAAGGAAACACTCCTTAATGTAAAAAAGAAACAATCAGTTTACATTGCGATAATGGAAGATTTTAAAAGACATTGCAAGGGAGAGAAAATGGTTACTTTGTAGACATTATAGGTTTGCACAACCTTAAAATAGGGCACATAGAAGTATATGAAAGACTTCAGCCATGCAAACCTACTTCGAGGATCTGTTTAAAGCAAATGACTGCAAATGTGTATTAAGATGTATGAATTATGTCAGAATTAACAGAATATTAAGTATATGTTAACTACTACTAAACTGGAGAAAATATTTAGAAGATGTGGAAAATATCCAGGATATATTATAAAAAATTAGGTTAAAAATCAGAATGTATAAATATAAATATAAAACATGTTGGAGCAAATTAGTTTACATTTGTAAAACATACACCCACACAACACACACAGAGTGAAAGACAGATAGGCAAAAATCAAGACAGAGAAAAAGTCCAGAATGTGTACACAGCCATATATCAATATTACTGCTTTACTTATTATGATACTCTTTTTGTTTAAGTATAATCCATAAAATTCAAAAACAATTTTAAATAAACTCACAAGCAGATACATGTATTTATTTCATTTTGATAAGAGAAAATTCCTCTTTCTGTAAATAGTTCTCTCTTGAACTTGGAGAAAAGGTTCAAAATAATCTAAAAACAGCTGTTATGTTTTTATTGAATGTCTTTTCCCCCTTTAGCTCTTAACAGTTCAATCAACTCTGACTGTGTTTTGTTTTGCAGTGCTGGGGATTGAACCTAGGACCTCAAGAATGCTAAGAAAAGTCAGGCACAGTGTTACATTCCTGTACTCCTAGCAACTCAGGAGGCTGAGGCAGGAGGATCTCAATTTGAAGGCCAGCCTCAGCAATTTAGTGAGTCTGTAACAACTTAGACCCTGTCTCAAAATAAAAAATAAAAAAGGGCTGGAGATATAGCTCAGTTAGTAGACAGCTTGCCTCACATGCACAAGGCCCTGGGTTTGATACTAGGCACCACAATCAATCAATCAATCAATCAATCAATAAAAAGGCTGGGGATGGGCTGGGGTTGTGGCTCTGTGGTAGAGCTCTTGTCTAGCATATGTGAGGCACTGCGTTTGATCCTCAGCATCAGATAAAAATAAATAAATAAAAGAATTGTATCTATCTACAACTTACCTGATAAAACATATATATAAAATCTTATCTAGATAGATGTGTATATATATTAACTTATATGTATATTAATATATATACACACACACACACATATATACACACACACTGATGATGTGGCTCAGAAGTTAAGTGCCCCTGGGTTCAATCTCCTGTACTCCCAGCAAAAAAAAAGAACAAAAGTTAGATTCTAGGCAAGTGCTATAACAYTTAGCTTAACCCCCAATCCTGACTTTTAGACATTTGCCTAGTATACTAAGGTACTGCCATGTCATACATGTCAACACTGATCACAATGAGCCTTCCTTTCTTGCAGTCCTGACAGATGTATTCCTGACAGTTTGGTTCTGAAACTCTCCTTTCTGCCACAACATCCTCCAAATATTGCTACTGAATAATCTTGTTAGTCTCACCTTAAATCTAACTTCATTAGAATAAAGACTGTAAGGTATGGATTTGTGCCATCCAATACAATAACCACAGCAACATATGTCTATCTAAATCTAATTTCAGTTCCTCAATCATACTAGCAACATTTTGTGTTCTTAATAGCCACATGTAGTTAACAGGTACCATACCAGAGAATGAAAAGTTCATTTGCACAGTGCTGGTATAAAGCATACAACATGGGTTGGGGATGTGGCTCAGTGGTAGAGCGCTTGCCTAGCATGTGTAAGGCACTGGGTTCGATCCTCAGCACCACATAAACAAAGATATAGTGTCCACCCAAAACTTTAAAAAAAAAAAAAGCATAAAACATAAAATTGACTTACCACCAGAGTTCCCCTGAGTTCAGAATAATATGGTCAAAATCTAATGCTGGTGGTTAGAGAAATGACATTTCCTTCCTATGAACTCTTTTTTTTGGGGGCGGGGGTAGAGGCACTGGGGGTTGAACTCAGGGACACTCGACCACTGAGCCATATCCCCAATCCTATTTTGTATTTTATTTAGAGACAAGGTCTCACTGAGTTGCTCAGCACCTTGCTTTTGCTGAGGCTGATTTTGAACTTGCCATCCTCCTGCATCAGCCTCCAGAGCTGCTGGGATAACAGATGTGTGTCACCGCGCCCAACTATCCTTCTTGTGAACTCTTAAGGCATATGATCAGAATTCCTTTAGTGTTTTTTTTTTTTTTACCTTGTACCTTATACTTATTCATCTATTCTGATTTTATATCCTTTGCTATATTAAAAATAATTAGAGAGTAGTAACTTTGTGTTTTCATTTCTTGTATTCCTCTAATTACTACCACAAGATCCAACATACTGTGACCCCTTACATCTGATAATTTGACTAAATTTCATTTTCAGTCATTCTTCTTTGGAAATGGTACTTAAGCACTTTAAAATATATGCATGATATGTTCATCATATAATAACTTATAATAACTAAATATTATAAATCTAAGTAGCTGTAGCAGGCAACAGGTTAAACAAATTATAGTTACAATAACAAACTACCACCTTGTTAGTATGCTCATATTGTTCCTTATTGATTACTGGAGAATGATATTCACTATGATTTACAGATTGATACAGGAAATTCAGAACTATGAGAAATTGTGGAAAGTATTGTAATGTAACCATTAACAACACAGTTTCTGTTGTCAGACTTTCAGAATGTGAATCTCAGTCTGACAGCTATTACATTTTCAAGTAGCCTACTGGTAAACTAGGGGTAAGCACCCACACTCAGAGAATTGTGTTGAGGAAATACCTCTATATCACATACTGGCATGTAACTATTTAATAGAAGTTAGGGATATTATTAAAATAAAGGACATTATATGTTTCTTACTCCATTGTTCTTAAGTAGAATTATTTTCTACTTTTTCCTTTTTTCCACAGTAAAATCTGGGTATCACATCTACTCTTTTTAACAAATTTGTTTAGTTGTTGATGAACTTTTATTTATTTGTATGCAGTGCTGAGAATTGAACCCAGTGCTTCACACATGCAAGGCAAACGCTCTACCACTGAGCTACAACCCCAGCCCAAGTACAATTCTTTTAAATTAACAACATTAATAAAACAGTTTCTCAGAAAGATAACCAAGACATCTCCCCTTGTCCTTTAAGCTACTGAAGGGAGGTATCATTCTTTAACATAGTACTAGCTAAAAGGATCTAATAAGGTGTTAGAGTACTTTATTATGAGGTTCAATTTTGTACTCATATCCTATGAATATATATTTTCATGAAAATTTTAGCTATTACTATCTTACTCTGTTTCCTACTATTACAAAYGAGTCCTATAAAATATTATTGGCATAAAGGAGCCTCAAAACATACCTGAATATGGAGAGTACTGCTATGTCCTGTGAATGTCACTTTAAAAATCTATAATAATATATAGTCCTATCTTATCAACTAAATTGTGCCATAATTGATTTGTGAATACCTGAAAGTTCATCAAAATAGAAGGGTTCCTTGGCACTTCCCTTTTCTCCCTTCACACAGAGGAATAAAAACCTGTGGCTAGGGAGATTTACCTCCTCTAACTAGGAGTTGGAGAGTCTCTATGTCCTTTGACTGAAAAATGCAATTTCTATCCTTCAAAATCTGAAATCAGAATCAAGATATACTCCTTACAAAAATGTGTTTAAATCCCAACATTAATAAGTAAGGTTCACATGAAATTTAAAGTTGATTATTGTTCATCATTGAAACTCTAGCCAGAGCAATTAGATGAAAGAAATTAAAGGGATATGGATAGGAAAAGAAGAACTATTTTCTGACCACATGATTCTATACTTAGAGGATCCAAAAAATTCCATCAAAAAACTTCTAGGACTGGGGATGTGGCTCAAGCGGTAGCGCGCCCGCCTGGCATGCGTGTGGCCCGGGTTCAATCCTCACTCAGCACCACATACAAACAAAGATGTTGTGTCCGCCGAAAACTAAAAAAATAAATATTAAAATTCTCTCTCTAAAAAAAAAAAAAAAAAACTTCTAGAACAAATGAATTCAGCAAAGGAGCAGGATATAAAATCAATAAATCATAATGCATTTCTGTACATCAGTGACAAATCCACTGAAAGAGAAACTAGGAAAATTACTCCATTTACAATGGCCTCAAAAAAAAAAAATACTTGGGAATCAACTTAACAAAAGAGGTGTAAGACCTCTACAATGAAAACTATAGAATGTTGAAGAAAGAAATTAAAGAGGACTTTAGAAGATGGAAAGATCCTCCCTTGTTTTTGGATAGGCAGAATTAATATTATGAAAATGACCATACTACAAAAGAACTGTACAGATTTAATGCAATTCCAATCAAAATCCCAACGATATTCCTTATAGAAATAGAAAAAGCAATCATCTGGAAAAATAAGAGACACAGAATAGCTAAAGCAATCATTAGCATGTAAAGTGAAGCAGGTGGCATCACCATACCAGACCTTAAACTATCCTACAGAGCAATAGTAACAAAAATGGCATGATATTGGCACCAAAATAGACAAGTAGACCAATGGTACAGAATAGAGGACACAGAGACAAACTACATAAATACAGTTATCTCATACTAGACCAAGGTGCCAAAAACATATATTGGAGAAAAGATAGCCTCTTCAACAATGGTGCTGGGAAAAACTGGAAATCCATATGAAACAAAATGAAATTAAGCCCCTATATCTCACCACGCACAAACACAACTCAAAGAGGATCAAAGACCTAGGAATTAACCGGGTCTATTAGAGACCCTGCACCTAATAGAAGAAAAAGTAGGCCCAGGGCTGGGGTTGTGGCTCAGTGGTAGAGTGCTTGCCTCGCTTGTGTGAGGCACTCAGTACCACATAAAAATAAATAAATAAAATAAAGACATTGTGTCCAACTATAACTAATATACATATACATAAACACACGCACACAGAGACACACAAACACATATATGAAAGAAAAAGTAGGCCCACATCTTCATCATGTCAGATTAGGCGCCGACTTCCTTAACAAGATACCTATAGCACAAGAAATAAAATCAAGAATCAATAAATGGGATGGATTCAAACTGAAAAGCTTCTTTGAAACAATCAGTGGGATGAAGAGAGAGCCTACAGAATAGGAGCAAATTTTTACTGCATGCATATCAGATAGAGCACTAATCTGCAAGAACTCAAAAAACCTAACACAAAAAAAAACCAAATAACCCAATCAATAAATGGGCTAAGGAACTGAACAGACATTTCTTAGAAGAAGATATACAATCGATCAACAAATATATGAAAAAAAAGTTCAACATCTCTAGCAATTAGAGAAATGAAAATCAAAAGTACTCTAAGATTTCATCTCACTCCAGTCAGAATAGCAGTTATTAAGAATACAAGCAACAAGGGGCTGGAGTTGTAGCTCAGTGGTAGAGAATTTGCCTAGCATGTGTGAGGCACTGGGTTAGATTCTCAGCACCACATATAAATAAATAAAATAAAGGTCCATTGATAACTAAAAAATATATTTTAAAAAAGAATATAAGCAACAATAATTGTTGGCAAGGATGTAGGGGAAAAGGCACAATCAATTATTGCTGGTGGGACTRCAAATCATCTGGAAAGCAGTATAGAGATTCTTAGAAAACTTGGAATGGAACCACCATTTGAACCAGCCATCCCACTCCTCAGTTTATACCCAAAGGACTTAAAATCAGCATACTACAGTGACATAGTCACATCAATATTTATAGCAGCACAATTCACAATAGCTTAATTGTGGAACCAACCTAGACGCCCTTCAATAGATGAATGGAGAAAGAAACTGTGGTACATATACACAATGGAATATTACTCAGGAATAAAAGAGAATAAAATCATGGCATTTGCAGGTAAATGGATGGAGTTGGAGAATATCATGCTAGGCGAAGTAAAACCAAAGGCCAAATATTTTCCATAATAAGTGGATGCTGATCCATAAAGGGGGGGGCATGAAAGGTATAGAGGAACTTTGGAGAGGGAAAAGAGGAGAGAGGGGAAGGGAGGGGCCATGGGGGTAGAAAAGATGATGGAATGAGATGGACATCATTACCCTAGGTACATGTATGAAGACACGAATGATTTGACTCTACTTTGTGTACAACCAGAGAAATGAAAATTTGTCCTCYATATGTGTACTATGAATTGAAATGCATTCTGCTGTCAGGTATAACAAATTAGAACAAATTAATTTTTAAGATCATAAAGCAGAAGGACGGCCATGTGACTTGACTGATACCAATCAACTATCTCCAATGTTTCCTTACTTTTTAAAGCTAGGATCTTGGAAATCAATATTGCCATTCTACCTAAACATTAATCTTAATTTTAAGAAAAGTTTTAACATTAGATTCCATGATATGCATTTCTCTACCATGTTAATTGAGTGCAGAAAAATGATTTGAAAAATGAGGAGGAAGAATGTGGAGACCAAAAAGAAGGGGGATCCACAGCCAATCTGCCGGGAAGGCAGGCCAAGAACAGGTCCCTAGACATTTCAACAAAAGAAAACCAAATGTTTTCTCATCCTAAAAACACAAACCCCATATTTTGAATAAAGAAAAAACAAACACACCTGGAACTAGATCTAGATTGTTAGATGTGCTACAATAATTTTTACCTCCTTATTTACTTATTTTATTTTTGTTGTTCGTTTGTTTTGGAATGGAGGACTGGGAAAGAAGGAAATCATGAATATATATATATAT